CCCTTTTTTTCTCTTTTTTTTTTTTTTTTTTTTTTTTTTTTTTTGCAAGCAACAAATAAATCCCAAATATTTCATAATGTTATACAGATATTTTGAATGTGAAATGGACTTATATTTTCCTTGTCTGTTGCCTTTCACATCACAGCTCACAATAGTCTCTATATAGAGTTTGGTTGTGTTTGGGTCGTTTTTTTTTTCTTTCATGTCCATGTGCAAAGATGGCAAATTTTAAAATTGCATATAAATGGATCTTGTGCCCACTGAGCAATTGCTACAAGACATTTATGCATAAACAGTGCCTCCGCACATTCACATCAAGCTCAAGGGAGACAACTGATGCTTCCCTTTGAAACATTATCCAGTGGCCCCATCAACCTATGGGAATACGACACCTATCTAAGCATTCATATATAAGGTCCCTCAGTATTATCAGCAGTTTTCGCATTGCTCAATAGCTAATTACCCTCCTCCATCCCCAACTCCTCCTCTGTCAGTCGGGATTCAGCCTTCTGATTCTCCTTGAATCAGACTAATTCTAAAATGTGTACATAAAATGATTGAACTTTAACAATATCTGCAATACATTTATGTTAGTTCTGTTCTGTTTACCCTGGGGGGTTATTGCTGCTCTCCCTGCTCTCATCCATGCTAGGCTGCATGGATGCGCAGGGAGTTCTTGCCCAGAACAGAACCATACCACCAATCCAAACTGTATGCTAATTGTCAATCATCTTTGACGATAGTGGTCCTGACAGAAATATTAAAAAAACTTGCTTCCTCAGAGGACATTTTTTTTTTTTTTCAAATATTATATATGGGTAACAGAGTTCCTCATTCCTTGAACTTTAGTTCCAATTTGTGCATCTGGTTGTAAATTTTAAGTAAACTTACAGACATTAATTTGTGAATTGAGGTAATTCTAGAAGAAAGTGTCCCTGGAAAAACAGGAATGAGAAACCGTGTTCTTTAACAAACTTCTCATTGTCATGAGAGTAATGAAAAAAAAAAAAGATGTCTTTGAAACTGTCAATAAGTACATTTGATGAACCAACTATCTTGTCTCACAAGATGCAGTGCATTTTTGTAGGGCTGTGACTTTTAATGATCTGTGTCAAGATTTGTCATGGGGTCATGTTACATTTATATTTTATTCATAAAAAAAAAAAAAACAAGAAGTTTGAAGAATGGATGGATGGATAATTTAACTATACTGATTATATTAACTACATTTATATCAAATTTACATGATCCATTATTAATTTTTAAACATTTGAAATTATTAATCATTGTGTCTCTGCATTCTGTTTATTGCTTGGTTGTAATTTTTTTCTAGCTATTTCCATACCAGTTTTGTAAGATGAAGTTATGTAAGCTGGCATCAAACACAGCTTTGCCTGGAATTTTTTTTTTTTTTTTCTCTTTGTCTCCTCTTTCATTCTTTTCATTTCACGTGTATATGCTCATACAAAAGGAATAAGGTCATGTGGTTTCAGTTTTTGATTTGCACAGTGGAGGGCAGGTTTTAAGTGACCCATAAATACGTCTGTGGGTGTGTGACCTGTCATTAAACTGTTTCTTATTCAACTTGTCTTGCAGCATCCTCAACTACTGGCAAACTTGGTAAATAAGTGTGAAAAACATGTGTTTGCTGTTCATCCTATTTGTCTTTCATTAAAGAAAATGTGCTGAAAATGTGCTCACCCTCAGGGCATCCAAGATGTAGACGAGTTACCATTTTAGATGAGTTTATTTCTTCATCTGAGCAGATTTAACATTCCATCACTTGCTCACCAATGGATCCTCTGCAGTGAAAGCAAAACACAAAAACATGCTAATTAAACAATTTGACTATACTTTCATTTAATCCAAACTGTGCATATTTAATTTTAAAGGGCTTTTGAAAACCTTCTAGAGTTATTCAGCCAAGAATAACAACTAAGTTAGCTAAAAAAAAAAGCCCAGAACTTCTGACTGATATGACACAAACATGTTAACCATTTGCACATTCTCTAACACGCATATTTTAGATTCACAATTCATTTAAAAGCCTCTGGTGTGTAAAAATAGTAAATATCATCATGTCCTCCTGTTTTTTTTTTACCCTAATAAAAGTTATAGGAGCATTAAATAGTTTATAAAGAAACTTCATTCTAATGCTCATTATATTAGCGTTAGCCGCCCTTATGCTAACGATTAACTACTCTAATAACAGCGATTATTTCAATCCGACATTCAAATTAAAATATTGAATATTATTCATAACAGAAGAGGTGTTTCCCACAGACTTGCACTCTGTTTGTGGCGCATATGTATGCAAATTCATTCTCTGCCAGCAGGAGGCGCTTGTAGAGCGGGAGAGATAGAGGTTTCCCCGGTAACAGCTGTAATCAAATAAGCAAATAATTATTTGATCAAATAAATCAAATACATTTTCTGAAGATAGTCAGTTTCCTTCAGAAATACAGTGATATAAAAACACCAGCACTGGGTTTCGACTTTGACACAGTGCAGTGCTCATGTTTATTCAATGAAGTCAAAGCCTTTTGGAAAATCTATTTATGGCGGTCAGTTTTGATATTGTGGCGGCACCGGTACTTAAAAAAAACCTGGTACCGTAACGTTTTCATTTTTTTAGTACCGACTTGGTACCGAAGTACCGGGTCTTTTGACAACACTACTTCATACCATTGCTTCCAGCTAAAATATGAGTCCTCTATAATATAATAATAATAATAATAATAATAAATAAATAAATCAACAAACAAATAAATGAGTTTGTTAATCTCTCAGTCAGCTGGTTTTTGTTTGTTTAGTTGGTCAGCTAGCTGAAAATCCCTCTAAAACATGCGATACACCCCATCTTAACCAGCTTAGTCATTACATGAAACCAGCTAACCACCTTTTTTTAGAAGGGTAAACATATTGTTTGCAATATCCATATAACTACAGTAGATAGCCCTTTTTTTTCTGACTGACAATGAGTAAAATAAAAGCTTTTGTATTTAAACTATGTGCATAATTTTCGGATTAGGGCCCCTGATTGGTCGGGTGCTGTAGGATGTGCTCAGTTGTTCCTGTGTGACCTGAGGTAAATATGGAGAAAAAGACAGGTCTAGTTAATTATAGGTCTCCGATTCATGTTATTTATGGCTCACACTATACTGCATACATTTCAAATGAACAATCGCCTGCGGTGAGAGCAGTGGAAGAATAGACCACACGATTGTTCAGCGGTTGCTGTGGCCGATACACGTTGTCAAAAGACATTTTTGTTGGGAATCTGAGCAGCTGCAGGGAAAAACAGAGTCACAAGGAGCTGAACTGGAAAGTGATATGACAACATTCATCATTTTACTGATCGCACTGATTTAGCAGAGGCGCGTGTGTATGTGGTCACAAGCTCAGATCACAAGGGCTCTGCACCTGCTGCCAAAGGAATTTGGTTCAGATGTGTAGGATTCTGTTAGAGATGAGTGTGATAAGAGACAATGACAGAGGAAACAGAGGGTGAAAAGAGGGAGGGATATGAGGGAGATGGAGGCTAGACAACATGACAGTAATATGACAAGATAGAACAAATGATATACACATCACCTGAGCAGAAAACACATATGGGCTTGTCAATCAAGCAACGTTATGTAAGCAAATAGGAAATTATGAAACATACAGATTCCATTCTGTAGGGTAGAGACTAGAGGTTGTGGTGATGCGTTATGGAGCTTATAATATGACAAAACTAATTGAATTTGTATTGTGTAAATTTGAATTATTGACAAGTGTCATTTAACAAAACTGAATATTATGTGGCATTTAACATAGTTCTGAATTTGATTTTTTTTACTTGAATATTAAACATTTGAAATTTAACACAAGTGAATGTTTTTATGGCAGAGTTTTAAAGACATGTATTTTCAAACAGCATTTTTTTGTTCTGAAATCTTAGACAGTTTTCAAGTTTTCAAGATGAAGAGGAAATTCAGAACATCAAATTCAATATTCTAAAATTCAAGTACAGAAAGTAGGTCAGAGGTAATCCACAGGGAAGAGTAGATGATCTCCGAAATGTCAAACGAAGCCTTTTGGCCAATTAGTAATTTTCTGGCATGAGCGTGTGGTTCAAGATCTACCTGCACTCTTAAAAATAAAGGTGCTTCACAATGCCATAGAAGAACCTTTTGGTCTAAATGGTTCCATAAAGAAGCTTTAACATTTGAAGAACCTTTCTGTTTCACAAAAGGCTCTTCGTGGCGAAAGAAGGTTCTTCAGATTATAAAAAGGTAAGAAAGAGATGGTTCTTTATGACTAAATGGTTCTTCTATGGCATCGCTGTGAAGAACCTTTTAAGCACCTTTATTTTTAAGAGTGTAGTGTATTAAAAATCTTTAGTCTATATTTGTTATTCCCTTTGGCGGTTTAGTTTTACCATCAATGGTTCTTCTATGGCATCGCTTGAAGAACCTTTTGAAGAACCTTTAGTTTTAAGAGTGTGATCATGAATCACCCAGAGGTAGCCTAAGTGATTCTTAAACATTTATGGTTTATGTAGGCTACTTACAGGTGCATCTCAATAAATTTGAATTTCGTGGAAAAGTTAATTTATTTCAGTAATTCAACTCAAATTGTGAAACTCGTGTATTAAATAAATTCACCATATTCTAATTTGTTGAGATAGTGAATTGGTGGGTTTTTGTTAAATGTGAGCCAAAATCATCACAATTAAAAGAACCAAAGACTTAAACTACTTCAGTCTGTGTGCATTGAATTTATTTAATACACGAGTTTCACAATTTGAGTTGAATTACTGAAATAAATGAACTTTTCCACGACATTCTAATTTATTGAGATGCACCTGTATTTCCAAGGTTTCCCAAACTGGGGTTAATGAAAGAACTGCAGTGGGTTTGACTGCGTTGATTAAAAGCTAATAATTAATTTAATCATAATCATGCTAAATAAAAATAAATTATTTTAAAATGAAACAAAACAAAACAAAGGGATTTGTTTAGTTGCATCTCAATTTGACCATTAACTAACATCGAAGAACTGTGAACATGTGAATGTCTTGTTAAATGATTGAAATATTAACTTCCTCGGGGATATTTCAACTATATATTTTACATCAAAGGGGTTTGGCTGTAAAAATACCTCCATTACATGAACATGAAACAGCAATAACATTACACATCCAAAGTTTTCAAAGCTACATGTTATGACACACAGCGGGATTCTTAGAATGGAAATTTTAAAAGAGAAAAAAAGAAGAATTAAGGAAAATCAACAAGTTATGAATAATTTGCTGCCATTGTGTGAAAAAATATGTAATCATGTCCATAAAAAAGTAACTGTAATCTGATTATGAGCATTTTAATGCAATTACAAGTATTTAAAGCTACCTGAGATGTACACTATACCAGTGTTTCCCAACCTTTTTTTAGTCGTGGCACCCTTTGGAAATTGTAACAAATTTGTGGCACCCTACAAAATTAATTTTGTCACAATATTTGAATTTCTAACTTTGATATGATACTTTGAAAAGTATCGATATTCGGTACAGCAGGGAAGAACTGCAGAATGTGTCATATATATATATATATGTGTGTGTCAGATATTTTTAATATTATTAATTTTTTTGTCCATGGAGGCAATCAGTAGGCTAATTTCTAATGAGGAGACCAATTTATATGACAGATTTTAATGTAGGCTTTTATTCATATGTAAACATTGTTTAATTACCATTATAACTTAAACTATCTCACAAATTTTTGCTTACTCTGTGTATTTTTGATTTTACAGTTGGGTAATTTTGTTGCAGTAGCACGAGATAGCTTGATTTCAATCTTTGAATTGAATAAAAAATGACAAGTAAACAGTCAGTAATAAAATAAGAACAAATAAAGAAATTAATAATGATAGCACAAATAAAAAATAACGACAGGCCTACAAATGAAATAAATAGCTTTTTAGTTTTTCAGGTCTAACTGTAGGGCTATTAAGAGATTTGGTTTTGGTAATTTTTTTATTTTTTTTACCAATTATCCAAATAATGTTTAGTCCTAGAAAGCTATATTATTATCAGAACAACCCGGTTGGGAAACACTGCACTATACCATTCAAAAATTGGAGTAAAAAAAAAAGAAATAAATACTTTTATTCTAAATAAAAGTGGTAGTAAAGTAATTTATACTTATCTATTTTAAAAACATGCTGTTCTTTTAAAATTGTCCTTTTATTAATCAAATAATCCTTAAAAAAAGTTTTCCACAAAATATGAAGCAGCACATTAAAATGTTTTTTGAGCAAATTAGCATATTAGAATGATTTCTGAGGGATCATGTGACACTAAACACTGGAGTAATTATGCTGAAAATTCAGCTTTGCATCACAGGAACAAATCACATTTTGAAATATATTACAATAGAAAACAGATATTTTCAATTGTAATCGTATTTCATAATATTACTGTTTTTACTGTATTTTTAACCAAATAAATGCAGCTTGGGCTTGGTAGAAAATAATTCATAAAAGTCCTTCGATCTCATAGAGAGTCATGGAATTATTTGGAATCGGAAATTAATTTGTCTGTACCAGATCTTTGCTGATTCTAATTGGGTCCTTAAAGATGGTCCAAACCACAGCTTCATCACAGGGAGGGGTGGTCAGTGAGCCGTTGTAGCGGTAGTACTTGCTGAGATCAACCCCTTTTAAGAGCTGATGCATAGAAAAGGGCTCCAAAATTCTGACTTTGTCTCCTAGCAGTAAAATAAAAATGAGACAACAAAATACGCATAATAGGCTATCTCAACAATACAGCAATGAAGGTGGGGTCTCATTAGCAAAATTTCAAGGACAAAAAAGTCCATTGTCTATGAAGTGCCGCACTTTCAAACCAAGCAGCTTTCTGATCGTCAATGCAGTGAATTCGCGTCAGCAAACTGAACCAGTTGCGAAATCTGCATGAGGAAATCTTTTGCAAAATTCTTGATTGAGTGGAACATCAAGTAGATATTACAAAAAGTAGCTTTAGAAAAAAGTATTTTATTTGATTCAACATAAAATGTATTACACATAAACGTTTAGGCTACAATGGCCTAACATAAAAGAAGATAATTTGAGAAACATCTTTTGTTCATACAATGAAAGTTATTAGTAACCAAATCAGCTTGGTCAGCAACATTCTTCTTTTTCTTCTGGTTACCAACATTCTAAAATGTTTTTAAGTAATTGATACAGGTTTGAAACGACATGAGGGTGAGTACGTTTTTATTTATTTATTTAAAAGTATTTTTAATGAAATTATACTCTAAATAAGAAACTAAAACAACTAGTAGGTGGGGGTAAATGTCTTTATGAGTAAGTCATTGAGTCATTCATTCATTCGATTCGTACAAACTGCTGATTCATTCAGGAATGAAATGGCTCACTTTATGAGTGGGCCATTGAATCATTGGTTCACCCGATTCGTTTAAAACGTGGACTAATTCAGAAACGAATCACTGCTGTGTGTTGCTCAGAGATACACAATAGTTCTGCTGTGGCTCTGCAATATTTTCGTTGGCAAAATTGAAAATCTAAAATATAACACTTTTAACTTATTATTTACTGAACTGTTGTTTAAAATCACATTTGCACTCGTGCTTTACGGGACAAAAACAGTAGGTTAATCATGTCCCAGATAGCACACGTACGTCTTAGGGGTGGAATGGTTCGCGGAAAAAAATCGAATCGTACAGTTCTCCACACACGATTCGGCACGCGCTAGGACCGCGGTTCAACTTAAATCTGACAACGCATCTGCAATATGGTTTGCTGTAAATAACACGTAAAACAAACAAGGCTCGGCTAATATATGTTTCTGTTGATGGATGCGCATTCTGGCTTCCAAGTACATTACAACAACAGCGATGAAAAAAAAAAACGTGGACAAACCATTCACCCTTGTTCAATGCGACTGCTGTATGCTGGAATATGAGCATTTATTCCGTCATGACCCGGGTGCTGATAGCGCGCGCGCACAGGTGAGACTTGAACAGCACACGTTGATATCTGTGTTTAAGCTAAACTTGTTTAAGCTTTGCCAGTTTAAACATTTAAGAGCCAGAGGACGCGAGCTAGCACGTGCAGTGAGAAGATTTGTGCATGCGCTCATCCGAAGTGCGCAAACCCCCGCCTCAGAACGCACGCAAATATTAAGCTTTCTCTGAAGTATTGTGTTTAAATTGACAAATTCACACAAAAATTATGTCAAAATGCCTGTCTTGGTAAGTATCCTATAGCAGACATAGCCGGCTGAATGTACTGTATCAGTGCATTCTCTTAAAGTGACAGCACTTTCTTAATATTAATCAAACAGCAACAACAAAGAAATCACTCACTGCTCTTGACTGAATAGCTAGTGTAACTTTAATAAAGATGAATCTTTAATTTATTCAGTCAAATATGCAATGCTGTTTTACATTTCATTACTTTATTCAATTTCTGTACCTGAAAACTAATGTTAAATCACAGTTTATTTTATTTGTATCTTTACTCTATTGTATTTATTTGTGCTGTTGCTTGTAGTTAGATAGATTATTATTGTTTTCTTTATTTTTATTTGACAGTATAGTTTTTGCCTAAACATAGCAAACATACCAAAACCGTGACTCTAAAACCGTGATACGAACCGAACCGTGAGTAAGTTGAACCGTTCCACATACAAACCGAACCGTGAGTAAGTTGAACCGTTCCACCCCTAGTACGTCTGCAAGATGTCTTAAAGATGGCTTCACCTGGAAAGCATCTGCTGTGTACAAAAATCTGATTGACATCTTTCAGACGTCAGTTTTGCAAACATTCTAAATCATATACATCTTAAAGACATCCTAAACGTCTATTTGACATCTGATAGGAAACGTCCTATAGACGTATTGCAAAAATATGTCTTGCAGATGTAAATGCAGACGTCAAATAGACATCTCAGTGATGTAGCCCATACCTGTGCTATCAGGGGTGATATTGTTCTCGCTGCTCGTTTGATATCGCTTATCATATGATATAAATATGAGACACAAACTCATATTGGGGCATTTTTTACCCCAATACCTTACATTTTAAGGGCATATAACTGCATTTTATAAGCTACATCATGCAGTGAGTTGTTGCCCTGAATCATGTTTGTCAACAGTCAACTCTACGAAATGTAAGATGACGTATGGTCTTGGGCAGGGCCAAAGCGTTAATTGCATTAAAATATTTTAATATCGTTATTTTTCCATAACTAATCAATTAAATGAATGCATATTATTAGACTGATGTCTGGCTCACATTCTTACATAGGCATTGTAAAGTGCAAGTTGGCTGCAAGTTTGTTTTACATGCTGGAGCCAAATATAGATTAATAGTTAAAGTTGTTAGTTATTTTATTTTACCCTTTCTTGGTATTTTTTGGAGATAATCGGTGAAGCTTTTCCAGACTTGTGACATCTCCTTTTGCTTTTCTTTTTCCTTTTCGCTGCTCTCCTGAAGGAAATAAAAAACAATTGAATGTAATTTATTGTTGTCAATTTTCCCTGAGATCTTTAACAAATAGCTAGGTTAGGTAACTACCGCTAGAAAATCAAACTAGACTTTATATGACACATGTTCCTCCATTCACTGTGTTTTATCAACATGTTTTTCCAAAATGAACTGAAACAGAGGGAGAGAGCATTAGCTACATTTAGTTGCCATCATAATTAGCTAACCACAATTGATGGCACTGGCACTGGCTCAATAATAGACATCATCAGCAGGGTTATTATATAGTTAACTAAAACCAAAACCATAAAAAAGTTACTTGAAATAAAATAAACATTACCTAAATTAAAATATTAATATTATATGAATATTATTTTAGCTAGTTGCCAAAGCAACATTTCTCATTTTCATGTAGTTTAACTTGATGTACTTAAAAAAAAAAAAAAACTAATTAAAAATATTACAAAGAAAACACTATGATAGTATCTCTGTTATACCAAAATGACACTATCATCAGCAAACTAAAGAGGTTCATTAAGAACCACTGTCTTAGGTGATAAAAAAAAAGATTCACTTATTCTGTCACTATTTACCCAACCAAATGTGGTTTGAAAGTTTAAAAAGACGGGAGATTTTCAATGAATAAGACTTAAGTTTCAGTCTATTTCTCACACAAAGCTTTTTTTCAAAACGTTGAATACTTCCTAAATAAATTGTCATTTGAAATGGTAATACTGCCCTCTAGGAGATGAACCCTGTAAATGCGACTCACAATAAAGAAGCCCATCACAGCAAAGCCATCTTGAACTTTTGCTGCAGTGCTGTCATTAAGATCACTTCTCTGGCTGACAATGTGCATCTGCATAGGAAAATACGACACGTGAGTCTAAATGCAAGTAACATTTTCCATGTCTGTCACAACTTGATCTTGCAGGCCTCATCTCTAACTTCTAGAGGTGATCTGTGTCCATTCAGAGAGTGCTCGGATCCCGGATGATTCACCAGGTCCTCTCCACCCCAGTGGAAGTGGAACTGCAGGACGGTGTATTTGTGCTTCAGACCTCCTCCTCGAACTCCCACTGCTCCTGCCTTCAGCTCACACTCAACTGCAGGGATAGCATGGAGGAGGACGCGGATAAGACGTGCGGGTGTGTTTCACTATGTGCATACAGTAGGCTGTATTCCTGATTCCACACCTGTGTGTCCGTTATTCTTCAGCATCTTCATGGTGTGAGGAAGACTGAAGTTAATCAGGTCAACAGATCCCAGCTCTTGGTTTTTAATGACTTTCTGGGTGTCGATGTTGATTGGAGACTGTTTACACCCATTACATTTGGGATAGTGTTTGCCCCAATGAGGGAGCGAGTTTTCTTTAAATAAATAAATAAATAAATAAGTAAGTAAATAAAAATAATAAGTACTAAGTCAGGAGAAGACAATTTATTTACATTTCAAATTAACTATATAAACCTATAAAAAAATAATGATGAAAATGACACAACAAAATGACCAAAATCTTACTAAAATTAAAATGAAAACAGATATATAAAAATGAAAACTAATCCAAAATATTAATAAAAACTATAATAGTATCTCAGTGATATTAAAATATGGCAATATGACAGTCATAGTCACTTTTCTTTTATGTATTAAATACGAGTATTTAAGTGTCTTTCTATGGAAGTATTATTTTATATACTATATTACAATAGACATATTGTCTCTTCATTTTAACTGGACCATATGCAGTCATGTCTGACAACTTGACCGATGTTTTCCGAATTTTGGATATATAAATATGAAGGTAGATGTCACAGATTTCTTTGGAAAGTGATTAGACCTTGATCGTTTTAGCCTTTATTAAACTTCATGAATAGTTAATCAACTGAATGAACAATTGACACCGTTTTTGGGGGGGGGGCTTTTTTTCATGCTGTTATCAGACAGGAGAGTAGAGAATGACAGGAAAGCATGGAGTGGAGAGTTGGGAATGGGATTGGCAAAGGACCTTAAGTCGGGATTCAAACTTGGGTCACCGGAGGTGCAGTTGCACTATATGTCAGTGTGTTAACCACTAGGCCAGTGGTTCTTAAGTGGTTTGGCCATGGGACCCACACTTTCCCATTGGTCATCAAGCCACAACACACGTTAAGGCTTTTTTTTTTTTTTTAGAATCATCTCGCATTTCCGTTGATATAAATGGCTGACATTTTATAAATTGCTGTTTGCACCAGGGCATCAGAAATTCATTAAGGTTGGCATGTTTATGGATTGGCATGAATACACTTGAAGACAGCAATATGTAGGCTACTACTATAAAAAGAAGAGGCAACTTTTCATTTTAACTGGACAGCAATAAATAAAGTAATTTCATGCAGCTTGATAAATGTTTTTAATATAATTTTGATATATTAATATGAAGGTAACATTTAATGATCTTTAAATGTTTTGGAGATCACATATTTCTTTGCAATCTGATTAAGTTTATCCATCCATATGAAACTATAATTATTATTTTTTATTTTTTTTTTGCATCTTGTTAACTACAAGTCATTATTCTGAACCATTTACACTGATTTCAATTTATGAGCATTCATGTGTCATTTACATTGATATTAACAGTTGATCCCTGAGAAACTGCTAAAACCCTAAAACAATCTGCTTATCTTCATATCTAAGGATATGAAGCACAGGGTTTTCTCCTCTGTAAACATTTATTTCTGTAAAAATTATATATTTGTTATTTAAAGTGATGGAAACTGATAGAAAAAATAGATTTTGGCCTGCCGCCCATTGATGATAAGCGGAACCTAGGACACAGAAGTTCTGAACTAGAAGACCGGAGTGAGCGAGAAGGAATATAAGGAGAGAGTAGGTCGGAAAGATAGGAGGGAGCAAGACCATAGAGTGCCTTAAAGGTGAGCAGAAGAATGTTGTATTTCACATGGAAAGATACAGGCAACCAGTGTAGATTAAATAGAATAGGAGTGATGTGAGCAGATTTTTTTGTGGAAGTTAATAGTCTTGGCAGCAGAATTTTGAATGTACTGCAAACGAGAGATGGAGTGAGCTGGTAAACCAGAAAAAAAGAGCATTACAATAGTCAAGACGAGAGGTAATAAACGCATGCACTAATGATTCCGCATCTTTTCTACTGAGGAAAGGACGAAGTTGCACAATTCGACATAGGTGGAAAAAAAGCAGCTTTGGAGAGTTTGCTGATGTAGGCATCCAAAGTCAGTGAAGTGTCTAGAGTGATACCTAAGTTTCTAACAGTAGCCGATGGAAAAATAGAAGTGGCATCAAGGTCAAAGCTAGAAACATTCGTTTTATTTTTTATTTGAGATGGGGGACCAGTTATTAAGATTTCTGTTTTACTCAAGTTCAAGCTAAGAAAATTAGAGTGTAGCCAGACTTTTAACTCTCTGACACATGAAGATAAGGAGGCCATCGAATGGATGGAATCTGGCTGACAAACAGTGTATATCTGGATATCATCAGCATAACAGTGGTAGTTAAAACCATGGCGACTAATTATTTGGCCAAGAGCCTGAATGTAGATGATGAATAATAGCGGTCCGATAACTGAACCCTGGGGAACACCCTGTTTGAGCGAGACAGTGGGGGATTTGGAATTGTGCAGTGAGATGTAGTATTGCCTATCTGTGAGGTATGAGGAGAACCAGGATAATGCAGAGCCTGAGATGCCAAACTCTGCGAGGCGAGAAAGTAATATCTTATGACAAACAGTATCAAAAGCTGAGCTGAGGTCAAGTAATAGAAGAATTGAAAAAGTGCCCGAGTCACCAAAGAGTAAAAGATCATTGACAACCTTTACAACAGCAGTTTCAGTGCTGTGCTGTAAACAAAACCAGACTGAAAAATATCAAAGAGATTGTTGTGGGCTAGAAATGACTGCAGCTGAGAGAAAACAGTCCTTTCCATCATTTTTTATACAAATGTCAAGTTAGATATTGGACAGTAGTTAGGTTTACAGGATCCAAATTCGTTTTTTTGAGAATAGGGGTAACAGAAGCAGTCTTGAGAGAAATCGAAAAAGTGGAAGAAATAAAAGACATGTTGATGAGGTGTGAGATAGGGGCAGAAATGACAGAGGTACAGTGTTTCAGGGGGAAAGCAGGTGCAGGGTCTAGCCAGCTTGAAGAGGAATTTGATTCTGTATTAAATCCAGGCCCGGATTGGCTAATCGGGAGCACCGGGAGAATTCCCGGTGGGCTGGTCTGTTTTTTGGCCGTGAGGGCCGGTCTTGTCATGCCACTGGGGTTGAAATATGGATGCCCATATTTAAGGCATCAAAGCGTCCCATATGAAAGCTAATGCAATTTGTCACGTATTCGCAGGCACGCCATATGACCACCAGACCATATGAATAACAAATTCTCAATTGATAATTAATCATTCTTTTTGCGCAAATTGTTTTATTTGTGAACGTAGCCGATCAAAGAAGGCTTTAAGACCAAGCGGAATCCTCTGCTGGCTGCTCTCGCTTCACAGCAAACGGGACTCGCGCTAACACCAATTCCCTTCACCGTCTGCATTTTGATTTTGGCAAATCAGTTTGGGCGAATGCAACTTATTGATCATGAGCCCAACATCCAGCAAGGCAGGAAAACATTCAATCTACCTGAGGAAAGACGTCTTTCACTATTGTAAGTTAAAGCTGTTAAATAGAGAGAGATAAATACATTTTAAAAAATGTAGCTTCTAGCGCATTCTTAAACTTGGACCTCAGTATATTATTGAAGTACAAATCCAAGCACCAGGAGTAGGCCGCACTCTCTTAAGTTTTCTTTAATTGAAAAATATGCATTTTCATTCATAGGCTAGCCTATGTGGTTGCAATAATATTTTAGTGAAAAAATGTAAGTGTTATTGTTTTAAAAAAATGCTTTATTGACTGACGTTTCATAGACCTTCAGTTGTTATGCTTTAAATTTTCATGCAATTGTATGTAATTTCTCAGTATTTTCACCTCCTAAATTAGTAGGCCTACACTAATTGTGCAGTCACGATTCTTTAATGGTACAATTTACTCATGCCGATGACTTTTTTTTTTTTTGTATGACATTAAAATTATTTTTTAGAATAAATGTACATAAATAGGTTAAGCAAAACAAATGTGATTATTTTTGAGAACTTTTCGCTGAAAAGGTCAGTATGTATATATATATATATACTGTATATATATAAACAAAAGCTCTAGAAAAATACAATGAATTACAAGGCTGTAGAGAACAGTGCACTATTGCAGACTGAAGTTTTAATTATTTTAATAGCTCAGTCGTAAACTAAAGTGGGCCGGTCTAAGCCATGAAACTTCAGGGCTGAAAATGAGTCCCACTCCGGCCCTGATTAAATCGGTAATTAGAGGTGGATTTGTCAAGGTAAAAGTAGTCAATGATTGGGTAGACTGAGTTTGCTCACAATTAGAAATAATCGGTTCCTCACCAAAGGTCCCACATAAAGCATCCAACTTTCCCTGAAAGTTTCATATTCAGAAATATTTAGAAACATATTTTATTTAAGGGTATATGAAAATGTAATATTGCTCACCACAGCCAAAATAGCACCAATCTAAAATAAATTTGAAAGAAAAAGGAAAACAAGGTCAGCTCTATAAACTGCTTTAGACTCTTCTTCACACTCGGTTGTGTTGAAAGTGAGAGTGGCGAAAGAAGAGACATGCCGGAATTAACTGTTAAATCAACTAGTGTGTACATTTTGCCTGAACCCTATATAGTCCTGTGTTCTGTGACGTGTTGTTCTTAGAATAAAAAATAATATGCATGAATATATTTATAGTTCTATTCAGTGACAACCAAAATAATGCTGATTCAACCAACACGACAAGAAAGTGACAGAAAATACTCACCTTTTGCAATGCTGAAGTCAGACAATAAAATAGCAACCACACATGTCTTGAGAAGCATCTGCTTGTTAGAAATAAGCATTTTTAGCATATTTTCACATTAAATCAGAAGATATTTGATATTTTGTCAGTGTAAATGTTTCCTGGGTTACACTACATTTAATTCTTAAAACATTTTAGCTAATGAAAAATGTTGAAAACATTTAGTGAAAAAAATCAAAATTAATGTGGCAACTTACCATTGCACAAGCTACAGTGCCTTTATTTATTTATTTTAACAGACCACAGTATAGCAACAGGTTGGGCTATTCAGGCTGTCATTGCCTCTGAATGTTTGTATGTATTAG